CTGTCAGGTTTTGCTATGCTCGCAGTGCAGAGCAAGGAGTATGGTGGACTGTACATGCTGTTGCGTTTTTCTGCGCCTCGACGTTACTCGTACTGTGACTGTCCGCTTTGGTTTGTTAGTCAATTTGCATTACTGCTGTGTTCGTTGAAAATTCGCTGATTTTGAACATTGGAATCGAATGGAACGTGCAGTCCCTCGTATGGTGGACTGTAGATGTGCTGTTGAAAATTTGCTGATTTTGAACATTGGAATCAAATGGAAGCTGCAGACCCTCTTGCTTTCCTGCACCTCGATGTTACTCGTACTGCGACTGTCCGCATTTGTTTGTTAGTCAATTTGCATGACCTCTGTAGCCCAAACTTTTCCAGTGTGGCAAGAAGGGTCCATGGGCATCATTACAGGCCATCGGATGTCAAAATCTGATGGCAGAGATGGGTATCATTACAGGCCATCATTACAGGCCATCGGGGGGAAGGGGGCAGCGCGGGGGGGGCGGGGGGACCAGGTTGTGTAGTGAGCAGTGGGTAAATATGATGATTTTGGAGAATCCTTTGCGAAGTTTTGAACTTCTTTCGCTGTTTTGTTTTGCCTGTAGATGATGCTGCAGCAAGCAAGCAAACCAGAGGTTGTATGGTTGGCAGCAGGAAAATGGTGATGTGTTTCTGTGTGTGTGTGCTCCTTACGGCTTGTGCTTTTCTGTGCCGCTGGAATGGTGTTGTGCAGTTGTTTGAAGATGCGGAATTGCCGAGGCTGAAGATCGAACGGCCAGGGCTGACACTGACACAGTATAAAGACTTGCTGTGGAAAATGTGGAAAAAGAGCCCTGCAAATCCCATGAATCAAGCCCAAGGACAGAGCTCCTAAGTGCGCTGCAACCCGGAGTCGCGTAGGTGGTTCCTAGGCAGCAAGACCTTTGTGTGTTATTGGTCGGGTGTGATAGCTCTGTTTCCCGTAGCGTATGTTTGTGGAAGTGGTAGTCGTGCCGACTTTACCCTCCCGCTGCTCACTGCAATGTGTCCAATTGCATGGATGGGGGGGTATATTTTGACGGGGGGAATGAGAGAGTGATTGAGTGATGCAGTAGCTTGTTCCTGCCAAGGAAATGAGACCCTTTGGTTCACGAGGTCCATAGCGACGGGAGGCAGACATGCCAAGATTGTCCTGCTCGGCGGGATAGAGGTGTAGTTCAGAGTCTGTCACAGGATTGGGTTTGTTAAACTCGTCAGTTATGGGTGCAAAGAGCTAGTGTTCTAGGTGTTAAGGGGGGGGCAAAGGTGACCAAGCAGGATCATGAATGCAACCATATTGTGTGGTGAAGGATGTAAAACAAGGCTGATATTTGTTAGAAGTAGGCCATTTGTTGGGTGGCCAGATCTTAGTTGATGTGCATGTGAAGATGTGTAAAGTGTGATCCCCGTGCTGAGCTGGTTAAGAGACCGATGACTCAGAAGGAAGGGGGTGGACTGTTGACTGTAGACCATCAGAACAGTGTGACTCTGCAATGGGGTTGCACTTCAAGGGTGGCATGCAGTGTGAGTGCATGCCAGCATTTTAGAATTGTGTATATATATAAGAATATAAGAAGACAATTGATTCTTTTCTTGTGGTGGAAGGAAGAGGGCAGAGCAATTGCTGGATTTCATTGCGCGGATGCGAGCTACGCTTGCACATGTTTCGTGCCCGGTTGTTGGCGAACTGATGGAGTTCTCCAGAAAGTCGTTCCAAGTATGTCGGTGATCAATGTTATTTCTGCTGTTTTGGGGGGACTGTCATTCAAGTTTGTGTGTCATTGCTTTTCCAAGGCTCAGGGTGATCTTTTAAGGAGTATATTACATGATGTTGCCTCCGCCAATGCGAAGACTAGTATACTACCACACCACAGTAGTTGAATGTGTGTCCTCACCTGTGTTTCTTACAGCATCTCTGACAGGCCAAAGTGCTTTGTATGGAAAGGACGATGAAGGTGATAGCCATGCAATATGTTTATGCTTAACCATCTATTGCCGTAGGATAGATTTTCTGTGGCTGTTGACCTATATAACTAGAATGGAGAGGAATCTCTGCTGTTGTGTTGTTGTGAGTGTTTGTTCTTTCAGTGCACGTTTCACTACTTCATGGCCATTTCTTAAAAGCCCCGGTGGATGTTGAGCTCCCAGCTCATCTTAATCAATCTTATCATTTCTGTTGAATCTGTGATGCGCTTAGGACCTTGTTCCACAGCTACCCAAATGTAGAAAGTCGTGAATGATGCCCTTTGCGACGTTCTTGCACAAAGCGCGGATTCAGTGAGCAGTATATAGAATGAGCCCCTCGGTCGCACTACCTTACAAAATCCAAGCCAAAACTCTAGCATTTTGCATTTTTAGATCTCACAGACAAGTGTATGCACACTGATCATGCAGGCTGCATACTTGGCCGGTGCATTCTGGACAATTCCAAGGTCATGTCATAGAACGAGGCTGCAAAAAGAATGCCTTTGAAAAAAAATAGTCTAGGTTACCAGCCTGGACGTTGGGACCCTTTTGGGTCTGGGTTGTCCGATCGGACAACTCCCCTGGTCGTTCGAGCTGGGCTGGGCGTACGGGCTGGTGGAAAAATCCATGTAGGGGAGTTAATGGCTTTTGGGCCTGCGGGGGTGGGATTTCGGGTATGATATACCCCTGGGAAGGATGCGCCATTTTCGTGAGGCCGGTTGGGCCTCCGAAATCAAAAACGAAAATGGTCCGCCCTGGGCCGTTAGATAAGACATCTACGGCCCAGATCGGGCAAAATTCAAATTCGAATTCTGCTGTGTACTGCCTTCTGCCTGCATGCGACTTGGGCACGTTGTGGGAGTTGCCGCGTCGCCATTGGGCCACGACCTGACGTGTCCTCCAACCCCCGTGCAGGTGCATACCCTCGTAATCATCCATGTCTGTCTCATCTCTCTCCTAATCCTCCTCCTTTCCCTCCTCTTCCTCATCCTCTTCCTCCTTTCCCTCCATCTCTTTCTCCTCCTCCTCCTTTCCGTCCACTTCCTCCTCCTCCCCCTCCGCCTCCTCCTCTTCTTCCTCCTAGTCCTCCACCTCCTCGTCGGCGTCGTCCATCATCGCCGTCCTCCTCCTCCTCCGCTGCTGCCGCTGTATCGTCCTCCTCCTCCTCCTCCTCTACTTCTTCGTCTCCGTCCTTGTCCTCTTCTTCTTCTTCCTCCTCCTCCTTGTCTTCTTATTCTTGGTCGTCGTCCTCCTCCTCCTCTGCCTCCTCCTCTTCTCTGTACTCGTCCTTCGGCTCCCCCTCCTCCTCATCTTCTTCCTCCTCCTAGTCCTCCACCTCCTCGTCGGCGTTGTCCATTACCGCCGTCGTCCTCCTCCTCCTTGTCCTTGTCCTCCTCTTCTTCTTCCTCCTCCTCCTCCTCCTCCTCTTCTTATTCTTGGTCCTCCTCCTCCTCCTCCTCCTCCTCCTCCTCTTCTCTGTACTCCTCATTCTTCGGCTCCCCCTCCTCCTCCTCATCTTCCTCCTAGTCCTGCACCTCCTCGTCGACGTCGTCCATTGCTGCCGTTGCTGTCCTCCTCGTTCTCCTCGTCATCCTCTTCTTCTTCTTCGTCGCCGTCCTCCTCTTCTTCTTCCTCCTCCTCCTCCTCGTCTTCTTATTCTTGGTCGTCGTCGTCGTCCTCCTCCTCCTCCTCTTTTCTGTACTCCTCGTCCTCCGGCTCCCCCTCCTCACCTTCTTCCTCCTCCTACCCGGCATCGTCCATTGCTGCTGCCGTCCTCCTCCTCCTCCTCTCCTTCTTTTCGTCGCCGTCCTCCTCGTCGTCCTTGTCCTCTTCTTCTTACTCTTCCTCTTCCTCCTGCTCTGGTCTTCTTATTCTTGGTCGTAGCCGTCCTCCTCCTCCTCCTCTTCTCTGTACTCCTCGTCCCCTGGCTCCTCCTCCTCCTCCTCCTTCTCCTTACCTTCTTCCTCCTCTGAGTCCACCTCCTCGTCGGCGTCGACCATCGCTGCCGGCGTCGTCCTCCTCGTCATTGTCCTTGTCCTCCTCTTCTTCTTCCTCCTCCTCCTCCTCCTCCCCCTCGTCTTCTTATTCGTGGTCGTCGTCCTCCTCCTCGTCCTCCTTATTTTTTATCTTTTTTTAATATCTGTGACTTGTCGTCATCAGAACACTGGGCAGAAATGACATTTCGTCAGCACTCCCCCTTCTTCCCCTCCTCATCCCTTTCGTGTGTCCACGTCATCACCATCAGTCGTCGCCGCATCGCCATTCCTACCTGTCCAACTCCCTACGTGGGAGTCTCGCCACCATCCTCTTCTTCTTAATCTTCTGCATGCCTCCGTCCGTTGTCCTTCCTTTTTTCAATCAATCAATCAATCAATCGGTCAATCAATCGATCAATCAATCAATCAATCAACCAATCATTCAATCTGAATCCAATCGTTAGATTGGATTCGGGTTGAAGGATTGGTTGGTTGATTGATTGATTATTTGATTAAAAAAAAAAAGATGGTGGGGGAGGAACAGTGGAAGTCGGACTTGCACCGTTCCTCCCACCCTCCTTTTTTTTTTGTTGTAATAGATCAATGACTCCGACTTGCACGGTGACCATTCCTCCTCCTCTTCATCCTTTTCTTCTTCGTCGTCATGTGGAAGTCGGACTTGCACCGTTCCTCCCGCCCTCCTTTTTTTTTTTTGTAATAGATCAGTGACTCCGACTTGCACCATTCCTTCTCTTCATCCTTTTCTTCTTCTTCTTCGTCCTCCTCCGCTTCTTCTTTGTCCTCCTCCTCCTCCTCTTTTCCTCTTCCTCCTCTTCCTCTGCCTCGTCGTCATCCTCCGCTGCTACCTCTTCTTCTTCTTCGTCGTTGTCATCCTTCTCCTCCACCCCCCCNCCCCCCCTCCTTCCCCTCCTCATCCCTTTCGTCGTCGTCCACATCATCACCGTCTGTTGTGGCCGCGTCACGATTTCTACCCACCCAACTCCCCACGTCCCCTTCTCGCCATTGTCCTCTTCTTCATTGTCTGCACTCCTCCGCCCGTTGTCCTTCTTTCAATCAATCAATCAATCAATCAACCAATTGTTCAATCGGATCCAATCAATAGATTGGATTAGATTGGATTGGATCTCGAAAATCCAATCGATCGATCGATCGATTGATTGGTTGATTTATTTATTGATTGATTGATTAAAAAAAAAAAAGAAGAGGGTGGGGGGAGCAGTGGAAGTCAGACTTGCACCGTTCCTCCCACCCTCTTTTTTTTTTTTTTTTTAATCAATCATTTACTCCGACTTGCACCGCTCCTCCTCTTAACACTTTTCTTCTTCTTCGTCCTCCTCCTTTTCTTCTTCGCCATCCTCCTCCTCCTCCTCCTCCTCCTCCTCTTCCTCCAGCTCGGCGTCGTCCTCCTCTTCTACCTCTTCTTCTTCGTCGTCGTTGTCCTCCTCCTCCTCCTCGCCCCCCCACCCCCGCTTTCCCCTCCTCTTCTCATCCCTTTCATCGTTCTCCACGTCATCACCCTCTGTCGCTCTAGTGTTGCCATTTCTACCTACCCAACTCTCCACGTCCCCTTCTTGTCGTCGTCCTCTTTCTTCTTCTTCGCCATCCTCCTCCTCCTCCTCCTGCTGCTACTACTACTACTACGTCGTCCTTTTCTACCTCTTCTTCTTCGTTGTCGTCCTCCTCCTCCTCCTCCTCCTCGCCCCCCCCACCACAACCCCCCCCCTTCTCTTCTCATCCCTTTCGTCGTTCTCCATGTCATCACCCTCCGTCGCGGCCGCATCTACCCAACTCTCCACGTCTGCTTCTCGCCATTGTCATCTTCTTCATCATCCGCACTCCTCCGTCCGTTGTCCTTCCTCCTTTCAATCAATTGATCAATTGATTAATCAATCAATCAATCAACCAATCGTTCAATCGGATCCAATCAATAGATTGGATTGGATTTTGAAATACAATTGATCTATTGGATTTTCAAGATCCAATCCAATCTATGGATTGGATTCAGATTGAACAATTGGTTGATTGATTGATTGATTGATTGATTGATCGACTGAATAAAAAAAACTAAAACACAATTAGAGTGGGAGGAATGGTGGAAGTCTCACTTGCACCATTCGTCCCGCCCTTTTTTTTTTTATTATCAATCAATGACTCCGACTTGCATGGCTTCTCCTCCTCTTCATCCTTCTCTTCTTCATTGTCGTCATCCTCCTCCTCTTCTTCATCTTCCTCATCCTCCTTTTCCTTCTCCTCTTCCTCCTCTTCCTCGGCCTCGTAGTCGTCCTCCTCTTCTACCTCTTCTTCTTTGTTGTCGTCATCGTCCTCCTCCTCGCCNCCCCCCTCCCTTCCCCTCCTCTTCTCATCCCTTTTGTCGTTCTCCACGTCATCACCCTCTGTCGTGGCCGCGTGGATTCAAATTGAAGGATTGGTTGATGATTGATTGATTGATTGATTGATTGATAGATTGAATGATTAATTGATTAATTGGTCGATTGATCGATTGGTTGATCAATTGATTGATTGATTGATTGATCGAATGCTTAAAAATAAATAAAAAACAATTAGGGTGGGAGGAACGGTGGAAGTCCGACTTGCACTGTTCCTCCTGCCCTGATATATGACGATATATATATATATAATCAATCAATGACTCAGACTCGCACCACCCCTCCTCCTCTTCATCCTTCTCTTCTTCTTTGTCGCCGTCCTCCTTTTCTTCCTCTTCGCAATCCTCCTCCTCCTCCTCCTCTTCCTCTTCCTCCTCTTCCTCTGCCTCATCGTAGTCCTCTTCCACCCCTTCTTCTTCTTCTTCTTCGTCGTCGTCCTCCTCCTTCTCTTCCCCCCCCCCCCCCCCCCCCCCCCCCGAGCCCCACTGTAGTCCTCTTCCTCCTCATCCCTTTCGTCATTGTCGACTCACCGTCTGTCGCCGCGTCCCCATTTCTACTCACCGAACTCCCTACGTCCCCTTCTCGCCATTGTCCTCTTCTTCAGGGTCAGGGTTGTCAGAGCCCTGGCCCCGGGGGTCTGATTGCCTTGATTTATGTGCTGTTTATCTCTCAACAAGAAAAAGTTTTTTGGCCGCGGGGTGCGTGCGTGTCCTGAACTGTGAGATTTTAGTCGTCGGATGTAGGCGGATTTTCATCTGGCGGCTGTTTTTTGCTTTTGGATGTCCGCCACACTCTTTTTTTTTTTTTTTTTTTTTAAACAAATGCTCCAGTTTATTCGTGGGGAGCAGCACGTGCTGGGAACCGGGCCCTGCGTCCCATATCGAATTGTACAGATCATTGAGAACATTTGAGATCATTTGAGATACCGGGGCCATTACCCGGCTTCGGCTGAGAATAGTCTGTGAACATGATATGATTCAGAAAGCATGGGGAGGACCATGAATATCTCATAACCTATTAAGGAAGTACTCATGCAATGGGCTGCCAGAGGTGCTACGAATGCTCAGAACCCTCAGGATCCCTAACAAACCCTTCTAAGACTTTTCAACGCAGTCTTACTCCCTGCTGAGCTCTTCCAGGCCTCACGCCCACACCCTGCTGGGTTACAGGGCAACACAACTCGCCCCAGCTCCGACCAGCGTCGTCCCAGCAGCAAACCTTGGCTGTCCCTTAGGATGCCCACCCCAAAGCATCTCCAGATCTCTCTACCAGGCTTTGTGCTCCTGCATCAGCAGGTTACAGGGCAACACCCCAGCACCCGACAGCGTCGTTCTGGCATCGAACACCCACAGTTCACTGAGTATTTCAGCTTCAAACCCGCCTAAGATGGGTTGCTAAGAGTCCCTACAGTCCTTAGGCATTCATAAGAACAACCAACCTATTTTCCACTATTCAGACTTTACCAGAATATGTGTGGCAGAAGGCCTCCCAATCCCGAATCAGATAGGTGAAACCTATTCAATCCACCTACGACCACCACCAACATGGCTGTTTTCAGCACGAACCGAAGCTCTTCCAGGCCTCATGCTTCCATCAGGTTAGGTTACAGAGTTGCACCACCTTGTTCCAGCACCGGCCAACATTGCTCCACTTACGACCCCCGATGACCACTGAGACTGCCCCCGCAAACACCCCCCCAGAGCTCTCTACCAGGCCTCACGCCCCCACTAAGCTGGGTTACAGAGTTGCGCCACCTGGCTCCGGTGTGGGGAAACCCGGGGAGGGGTTGCCTACTGTATGCTGAAGCCAAGGGTAACGATGCCTGTCACTCGCCGCGCCCGCTTCCGAGGTCCTCAGCGAGCAGCAGGGTGATTGGGGTTCGTGCTGCCTGTCAAACCCCTGTTATTACTGATCCTAGATTTCTTTCCCTAAAATATCAAAACTGGAATTAAAAGTAAAACTTTCGGTACCAATTTGTAGGCTGAATTTGCCCTTGTAAATTTCTCGGATGCAATTTAGAACCTGCCGAAAAGCAATACAGCTCTTCAGAGCAATCTGAGTGTTCGAGGGTTTCATCTCAAATGACAACAACAGTGCCCACCTTCTTCTAGTTGCCCTTACATTAGCGATCGCCATCAGGGGCTACCTCACTGCTTAAATTCCTCTATTTAAGGAGTCAAGGTTCGCAACACGTTTGCACGATTAAGGCAGGCAACGAATTACAATGCTGACACGACCACTTTTTAGCATGCAGACAAAAACATAAAATCTCAATAAAAGTTCAATGGCGAGATCCTGCCCGTGAGTCCAAGTTCTAGGCTGAAACCCTCATGGGGCTTTCCCGTGTTCTCGCAGGGATAAGGCACGGACCTCCTGGGTTTTCCAGCCAGCGATCATAGTCAAAGACAACCATGTTGAGCCTGAAATGAGGAAATTCAATAAGAAATACAGCGTGAACGAGGCGATTATTTCAGACAAGGAGGATGATCAAATCACCCCAACAGGGCAACAACAAAACTCAGTTCGACACTTGGAATTATGTCCAATATCTCTCAAAAGGTTTCCATTCTACCTTCTCCAGCGGCTCATTGGCTGCATAGCGCAAGCCGCGTGCTTGCCGGAGCTGTTATCCCCGAGTGTCATAGTATTATGTACAAACCTGTTTTTTGGAGTTGACTGTCGATCTCAGACTGAGGGCTTACTTCCAATAGTATCTCTTCCCCTAGACTTTAACTGATTTATCCCTTCGTTCTGGTAGCCGTGTGATGAGGCTGGCCTGCACATGTATGCAGCTGACGATTTCATTGCTGAAGGGAATAGGAAAAAGTGAGCTCGAACTGGTTTACAGAAATAAGTCCCTTGAATCATATGAGGGAACTGGTGTGCTTTCGTTCCGCGATATCTTCACTCGTTAGGTTACAGAAACTGAAGAGAGTGCATTGTCACGCTCTTAATTTGGTGGCCGCTGAAGGAATGCCCGGTTGGGACACCTCATGAGATACGAGTGGTTAAGGCTCTTCCGCCCCCACTAACTCTTATCCGCCGTCTTTCTCTTGCGCGCTCTCTCTTTTCCCTCTTTCTCTCTTTATCCCCTTGTTCTCTAGCAGATGAGCAAACTCGTCCGAATGCGAACAACCTCCCCAAATCCACGTACGTGGTCTCACGCCCTACTGCCTGGGAACTTGGTTACGATCTTGCTCAATGCCCGTGTATTTCATCTCTGCTCGAACGACCATGTTTCACTGATGCTGATTTCAGTCAGACATATCTCCCTTTCTCTTCTCTATCTTCCCCGCTTTTAGTCACACTTTGTCCATTATTTGAGTGGTAGTGATCGCTATCGGGGTTTTACTAAAAGTTTAGTCCATGTCTTTCTCTGGGGCCCATATATATACTCGAGACGGTAGGTAGTTAGATCCATTTATTCTCCTCTCTGTTGGCATTCGAGAGAGTATTAAGTAGGACTTCCTGAACGAACTCAAAGTTAGGACTTTATTCCAATATTAAGTTCGAAGCTCGACAAAGTGTTTGCCTTCTCAGGAGATCACTTGTAATGCTTTCCTCATGAGTGGAATAGGCTGCAAGAGAGAAGGGCAATTTCCTTTAGCTTTGAAATCAGACGAGGCTATCGTCTTCCCCCTAAAATGCACCCTGAAATTGAACGTACGCAAGCTCCGGTCCAGTGCAGCCAAGATGAGGATGCGTTGTGTTTGGGGGAAGACGGTAGTCTATCACCTGTCACTTGCGAGAACTCTTCCCATGTGGTACTGACAGTTTGTGAAGCAGGCGTCGGCTTCCGCCCTTAGTCTCTTAACCTCACGACAAGTAATTGTCATTCAGAGCACAGGGAGCATATGCTGAGAGCTAGTGTACCTGCTGTCGGGCGCATCGGTCCGGCACCGCGCATGGCGGTGCGGGACCCTCTCGGCCGCGTCACGCAGGAGTTGGACCAACCTCGACACGAACACGCAGATGGAGCTTCCTTAGGCCGCTCCGGCCGAGTGCGCCAGCCATACCTCTCGCGAGCGCCTACGACAGGATAGGGCCTACGCGAGGCACAACTTACCTCCACCTTACGGGAGATATCACCTCCTTTCGGTGGGCGTATCCCCGCCGAGCTACCACTCCATAGTACGAAAGCTACTCAATTGCAATCGCAGAGGTGGACCAACCGAGGGCGTTTCTCGTTCGCTATAGCATTGGGGGTACGCGCGGTAATACACCTATCGAACCCGCACGCGGACCGACATCTTGGGGGGCTGAAGTCCCAAGCGCGGCTCAACGTCGGTCGACTAGGACGCATTCCACATACCACGCGCACACCACTCTAACAACCACAAGACAACAACACGCACACATACACACGAAACGACACAACACAAACAACGCGACAACGCTCCTAGCCCCTCGGTACCCATCCCATAACTTTCCGTCGCGGAAATCGAATAGGCATCGCGTGCGAGACTTAGTATAAAACTGCGTGGACGTAGGGCTAGCTCATACCGACACGCAATGCAAGCGTACCCAAGCGGTCGCAGTGATGGCGTACTATGTAGTACCCATAATCACGCGGTCCTCGTTAATCTCGAGGGTCGCATTCGACACTCAAGTGTCAGCTGACACGCGTCTTGAGGGTTAATCTCTCGACGCTGGACAACCGCCAAGCGGGGTTGAAGGTTACACACCTCTTCTGCACTCTGTGCAGGGTGGGTGATACACAGGTCTATACTTGTGGTGACAGTCGTCTCTTACTGCCCTGGAGATAAGTCCCACTCCAGGCCTGGGCGAAAGTCAAGGGGTTTGACTTTGACGACTGTCACGGACTACAACGTCCAACCATAAAAATTAACAAACAAAATTAATCAATCAATAAATAGGCGTCTCAATACTCATATACCAAATCAAGACTCGAGATAACAAAAAAAAAGGAGGGGGAAACATCAACCCATCAAATATGCAGATCGCGCGACACATGGTTGTCATTCTCACTGTCTCTAAAGGATGACTCATATACCAAGCTCCGAAGTATTAACTTACATAAAACACAGGCACACACAATAGCCACATTGCCATACACCAATGTGGTCAACTTTGCAGTTCCCTGTAACTCATCCCACGCCTCACACACTCAAGCCCCAACCATGGTCAAAATCTCCACAATTCTCACAAGTTCTTTATAATAGTCATTAAAAGAAGTCCGGTTAAAACCTTCAAAGAAACATATCAAGTCTTAGGGCTAAGGCAATCGAGTAGAGGTACAGGTATGAGCGAAGTTGTGTCGTAAGCCGACAAGTCCGCGATCAACCAACCGACCTGTTATCAGTGATAACAGAAGATGATCCTCGTAGGATCAAGTTGAACTAGTCCAAATCCTGAATCAAACGGTTCAGCGGACCTATAACACATGACAGGTCAATTCCCAAGCTAGACCTATAAGTCCATGGAGAGTAATCCCCATATCACGATCTCGTTCAAATCATCCTAATTGACTAAGCCTGAATCTACCTTCAAGCAGTGCCCGAAGCAAAGGTAGACCCTGGCATAATCCCCTCTATACAGAGTGGATCGCCAGAATCGCCACCTATCGAACATAATCTTAGCTTCTAAGAAAATTTCGGCAACGCTTCCCGTAGGAAAAATGTCTTTCCAAAATTTATCAAAGCTCAAATATAAAAGCAGAAATAATCTCCAACTCTTGAAAGTCAAAT